CCCCAGACATGGAGAGGTTAGTGTACCCCAGAAGGATCTCYGATATCTGACCAGTAACCACCTTTCCCCAGCGTGGTGGTTTCTTCTCTCTCCTTTTCAGTTCATCCCCTAATCTCAGAGATCTGTAGGTGTCCCCAGCTAACCTGTCCTCATCTCAATGAAAGCCAAACTGCCCSTCTGTTTGTACCAAGAGATGTCATCCTTTTGGAATGGAATTATGGAGGGACATTTTTATTTTTTGCTCAGCTTGAATTTTTGGAAAGACTTGAACTGTTTGGAGAAGTTAGCAAAACTTCTCCCACAAATGCCCTGTGCCTCATTAGATTAGCACACAGAGAAAACTTTATTAAATAAGAGAGAATTATCATCTCTGAGATAATGAAGAGATATTATTTAAATGGTGCTGAGCCACCYGGCAAAGACTGTAAAGTTCCTGATGTCTTGCCAAGCAATGTAAAATTAGGTGGAAAACTGAAACCTGTCCCCATCGATCTTGTAAAGACTTACAAAGTCAGGGAAGGATATTCATTGTTCTGCTTTAATGAGCTGACATGGTTCAAATGTGATACCAGATTAAATAGCCTGAAAGAACTGTTCCGTTTTTCAGTCTCAGACAAAATACTTAAATAAATGAATAAAAAATAAAAGTGCTCTCAATAATTCCAAAATTAAGTGGAAAGGGGCCTCAGGCTTCACATACTTTTTTTTTTTAATATTACCAGGTATTTTCCAGGTATTATTAAATATATTAATATTACCAGGTATTTTCCAGGCCTTCCATTCTGTCTCCAAGACACTCAGCACATCTCAGCTTCCCTTCTCCTGCAAGGCTGATGTAAGCCGGTGACTCCCGCTCCAGGACACCGGGTGATAAGCCGGCTGCTGGCGCTTATTCAGCTCTGCTGCTGCCCTCTGCAGCTCCAGCAAGGCCTGACGACGATTTTTGCTGGTTTTTGTGGTGCCAGACTGCRGTGTGAACCCTGTCCCTTGCCTCCCATGGGCTTGAGTGAGTGGATGAGATGGGATACTCATGGCAGCTGAGTACCTTCTACAGCTGAGTACTACCTACTACCATGGCAGCTGAGTACTACCTTCTACATCTCGCTGAGACACCATCTCCAGGATCCCAAATTAGGACATTTAGGAAAAGAAATTCCCTGAATGGCCTGTGCCTATGCCCCGTGCAGTATCCCTGGGCATATGTTATCAGCAACAGCATTTCTTTCTACACGTAGAATCAGATGGAATTTATCCAAAATGGACAAAACAATCCCAGTGATGGGATWGACACTGAGCTTTTCCGAAGCGCCCATGTGCAGATGTAACAATAGTGACTGGGCACGGGAAAGCTCCCCGGCCTGGTGCTTTATTAAATAGGTTTGGGATTCCAGAATGAAATGTGACGATTTAGGAATCATAGCTAAGGATGATCAATGATGAAATAATGTAGGGAGCATCTAAAGGAAGGCAACACTTGATCCCAAGGAAAAGAAAAAGGGAAGATTTTCGGTGTGCTGCAATTGTGATCTCCTTCATCTTATCTCAGGAGAAAACACCCAAAGAACAAACGTTCCYGGGCGGAGAGAGGCACTGCCAGCCTCGCCGTGGGGCGCGCGGCGGCGCAGGAGGTGCGCCCGGGCCTGCGTGCCAACAAGGAGGCAGCACCGTGCTCTCCAAAGCCCCTTCCCATCCATGAGCCCTCTCCACCTCTGCTGGGAGCCCGGAGTGTCCTGCCAGGTCCCTCCAAACCACCCACTGCTGCCCCGCATGCATGGAGCACAGTGTGGACCTCCAGCCCCTGCCCACCACCCCTTGAGCCTGGTGGCTCAAGAAGCTTTTCATCCGTCTCCCCAGCCCCTCTCTCCCTGATTTGGCTACCCAGATGCTGCAAGATGTGCCCAAGTGAATGTAACGGGTCTCTCACGTCCTCCGTGGGGCCAGTTATCTCCTCCTGAGGGGAATTGATTGCCTCATGTACATGCTCCCAGCAACCTTTCCTAGAAAGCCAGATATGGGAGCTGGGATTTTATTTGGCAGAAATAAATTGTCCCAAACTTTCCCTTGCAGCAAGCAACCTCATCCTTGGGCCCTGTGCAAATGTTTCCAGCCTGGCACCCACAGGGGCTCTCATGCAATCTGGGTGTACATCAAGAGCCTGGAGCAGCCACGGAGGAGCTCCAGCACCTGGGCATCCTCCAAGCAGCACGGGGAGGGTCTACAGAGCTGGGGCACCTCAGGGCTGGGAGCAGCTGAGCCGGCTTTTCAGGCTCCCACGTTTGAAGTCAGGCAGTTCCAGGCACCCAGCTCCCTTCTGGAGCCCACAGCTCTGTCTCGTATCCCCCACCATCCCGAAGCAAGGGATGACCAGGGTCAGGGATGGGTGCAGAGATCCCTGCTTGGCCCCTCCTGGGTGATGAGGATTGTGTTGGCTGCCCGGTCCCATTTGACTTGATGGGCTGGGTTTTTTTTTTTCATCTCTGCATGACCTTTTCCTCTGGAGCAATGCATGAAAACTGTCCCAGGCTGAGAGTAAAATGATCCCATTTCCCACCCACTCCCACAGCACACTGGTTTGCTGAGCTCTCACCTCCCAGGCAAATCCTGTTGCCGGATTTAGCCTCTGAGTCCATCTTGGAAGGCATTTGCCTCCACACAGTCACATCTGGCAGATTTGGGTCTTGGCTCCGAAGAAACTCTATAGAGTGGAGAAATGGGCAGGGGCACTGGTTGTATTGGTTGTGAGAGGTGATGAGCAGCTGAGGATGGGGATGGAAAAGGGGAACAGCTTGGTCTTTCCCATGCCAGGGCTTCAAGCTTTGATTCACACTGCAGTATGTTCCCCAGCTCTTTCTCTTGTTTGGGCACTGGGAAAACAATAGATATAGATATATAGATCTATCTATCTATCTATCTATCTATATATATATATATATATCTTTGCAGAGAGTGAGAGAAAAAAAGCCAAATTTCAGGAGACAGGCTGACCAAAACTAGCTCAAAATTTGGAAGACTTCAGAAAACCTGATGCTGGGTGCTGCTCCTTTGCACTTGGAGGAGCTCCTATCTCAGCTCTCACCCAGCCTGCATGCTGGTAAGATTTTAAGTACATCCTCATAGCTGGAAGAATGACATSGGATGTGGCCTCCTTGGCCCAAGGTGACAATGAGCAGGCACAGAAACCCCCAGCCTTGGGATTTCAGCTTGGACAGAGCCCCTGTCCTGACTGACACACTGAAGTGAGAAGAAACCGGGTCGCCCTAACTCCCAAGAGATCCAGAATGACCTTGAGCCCCTTCTGGAACCAGCCATGAGGGGTCCATGACCCACCAGGGTCAGAGCTGCTGGAATCCAGCACCTTCTTGTAACCCAGCACAGTGTTTTGCTCTCTCTGTCCCCAGCGAGGATGAGGGACGATGGCCAAGGCACAGGCCTTGTGCATCAGGAGTTTGCATCTGACCTCCAGCTTCAGCCCATCTGCTCCCTCTGAATGAGGGAGCCAGCAACCACCTAGGGGAAGACGAGCCTGTTTTGGACCCTCCCAGCTCCTCTCCTCCAGCAAGCAGAGGGTCTTCTCAGCAAATAAAGCCAATGTGCTCTTCTCGGGGAGGGATGGGTAGTCCTTGAGTATAAAATCATCAAGCAAAGTGCTTATCCCTGATCTTGGCTGCCCTGAAAGGGCCAGTGCAAGGGCCTGGCCCCAACACGGGGTGAGTAGCCTTGGGCCATGCCAAGGACTGTGTCACCACCCCTCACTCATAGCTGGCTGTGCCATGGGGCTCCCGAGCAGCTCCATGTGGATGAGACCCCCRGGGGCTCCATCCCTGCCGTGGGGCCGAGCAGAGGCTCTCGGCCTGCTGCCCAGGCTGGCCATGGCCACCATCCCCTATTCCCACGCAGCCAGGCAGTCTCCAGGATGATCTGCAGCGCTGCCGGTAGCCACGCTTGGGCTCAGGCTCTGGCGTGGGCTCAGGCTCCGGCTTGGGCTCAGGCTCCAGCTTGCGGAGCTGGTGGCTCCAGGCACCGGCGTCTGTGCTGCCTGTTGGGGCAGAGCCCCGGCGGGAGCTCTCGCTTCCCGCGGGCTGCCATGGCGGCCTGCAGATCCGGGTGGCCTTGCTGCCGGGTCGCCAGCAGCCATGGGAACACCCGCGGGCAGGGACTGAGAGCGAGGGCTGGGTGGAGGGGCTTGGAAAGGGTTTGGGCTTCAGACCCCATGTGTGGGGTGCTGGGAGATGAAGGGGACAGGACAGGGGTAGGGGGATGCCAGGGACACCGAGGCTGGGGCTCTGTGCAGGGTACCCACAAAACAAAGTGACAAGAGGGTAAGCAGCAAAAGGGCATGTTTGATACAAGGAAAGGGATCCTCCGGGTGCAGGGACGTGGGGTGCCTGCTGCCTTCCCCAGTGCTGCCCACTGGCCCGAGGCACGGGGTGAGAGGACAGCCGGCAGCGCGGTCACAACAGCCCACGTCACCAGGGCATCCGCACAAAATGGCCAGAGATGTCCTGTCCACAGCAGCGTGGGCAGCCCCCAGCCCGTGTGCAAGCTGAAGGCCCGGGGGAAATGTGTCCCTGGACCCATTCTGGTGCCACCTCACATCCGGGGGAAATGTGTCCCATGGACCCATCCTGGTGCCACCTCACATCCGAGCCAGCGCTCACTGTGTCGATGCTTCCTTTGAGCCCGGCCTCATCCATCCTTGGCCTGTCCTGCAGGAGAGGCCCAGCAGGTCCCCACCGTCCCTCAGGGTCCAGCCATGCAGGAAGCGTGTCACCTCAGCCACGTCCACATCCCCATGGTGGTGGCCCTGCCCATGTCCTCTTGTCCCTTGAGGCCTGAGGGGCATGTGGCTTGAGGCTGCAGCGGTGCCAGGCAGCTCCTGGGCGCCTCCATCCTGCCCCGCGGCGACAGGCCCTGGGGAGGAGGCGCAGCAGGAAGGCAGCGCCTGCGCTGGCCTCGCCGGGCCTGCCACCCCCGTGTCCGGGCCGGAGCAAGCGCAGGCCTCATTTCCCCACGGGGATCCTGTTCTCCCTGCCGCCTGCAGAACCGAGGGCCGTCTCCATCCTGCCCTTGGGACGCTGCATGTCCGTGGGCTGGCAGGCCGGGGCCGTGTCACACTGCAGCACTGCAGAGAGAAGGTATCTGTCAGCTCAGGGCTCGCATGTGGGGCAGGATCAGGCTCTGAGCGGAGCTGAGGAGCAGGGCTGAGGTCCATGGGACCCTGCTGTGATGCTAGGCTAGGCTGTCATGATGAACTTGCACCCAAGGCCTGCCCTGACGCTCCAGCACCTCCATCCCAGGCGCAGAGCAGGACAGCGCAGTGCCCTTGGGGACTACTCACCACCCAGCAGAGCAGGAGGCCGGCTGGGGAGCTCCTAGGGAGGTCCCACGTCACGGCCATAGCCCAGCAGACAGGGTGACCTGGGGCTGCCCCACTCATGCTTCTCTACCCCAGGGCCACCAGCCAGCATGAGAGATGGGACTCTGCAAGCTCTGGAGCGAGCTTGGCCTGTGGAAATCACAGCAACCCAACCGTGACCACACAACGGGGTGGGAGAGCTAGTGAGCCTGGCCAGAGGAAAGGCAGTGAGAAAGGCCCGTCTCAGGGAATGTCAGGAGGTGAAATCCCAGCAGGTGAAGCTCAAGCAGCTTAAGGGAGAGGCAGAGGGCAGAGCAAAGGCCCAGAGCCATAGCCCTGGCCAGGGACACTGGACTCCCACACAAACCCAACTGGGAATGTCCCTGTCCACAGGGCTCCTGTGCTCCTGGGTGGCTGTGCTCTGAGGTGATGGTCAAGGGGGACATCCTGCAGCAGGTCCCTGCATCCCTGGAGGCCCTAAGCCCTTTCTGGCGCGCCACGGGGAGCCGCTTACCCGCTCTGCAGCTGTGCCGGGCTCGCACGATCTGGATGGCCTGCTGGTTCTTGAAGCGGACGAGGCCCATGGTGATGGCTGCGTTCCAGCCTGGGTCCTCCTGGGCGCAGCGGAAGTCAATCTCGTGGCTGTCCTCCATGACCACGGTGAAGTAGATGTGCCGCTCCTTCCACTCCACGCACTCCACCGCCTTCATGCGTGCGAAGCTCAGCTCCTTGCGGCGCGAGCCCTTGGGCTCGAAGAGCTGCAGCCCCTTCTCGGTGAGCAGGCAGCGCTTCTTCTTCCAGAGCTGCAGCAGCCCCCCGCTGCGCTTCTCCAGCACCCCCTCTCTCAGCACCTTCTCGGGGGTCATAGCAGCTCCTCGCTCGGCGGGTGGCCCCGCGCGATCCTCAGCTCCTTCCGCCCGGCATCACCCGCCGGGGATTTCCAGCCTCTCCACGTCAGAGCCTCCAGTGCCGGGACCCTCCGTGGCAGCTGCCCCTGGGGGTCCAACCCCCGCCGTCCGTCCGTGTGTCTGTCCGCTCGCCGGTGACTTTCAAAGGGTGGAAGCAATTAGGTGCCGCATGCCGGCTGCGATGCCTATCGCCGGGCTCTGCCGCCCGGTGCAGCCCGTGGGAGCGCGGCGCCGCGCACCGGGAGCTGCCGCTACTTGCCCGGCGCTCTCCCTCTCGCATTCCTTCCCCGCCTTGCCTGGCTCCTCCTCGCAGACTCCCTTCACGCCCAGGCGAAGCCCAGCCAGGCCTGGCGCAGCCCCGGGGAGGACGGGGCACCGCAGCTATCGCTGGGCTCGGCCACGGGGATGTGGGCAGAACTTTGGGAGCTTGGCAGAGCTGCGGTATTGGCCTGGTCGTGGACCTGGATATGCCAGCTGGGGCAGGGGGCTCTGGGGCGCAGAGCCCACCATGGAAGGGGGTGTGGGGCACCCTGCCAGGCAGACACGGGGCTATGGGGTGCGGTGAGAGCTGGGGCACGGGGCTATGGGTGCAGTGCCCACCACAACATGTAGTGCCCATTTCCTCTTATCCAGGAGAAGTCACTGGAGCCCGGAGATGCAAGGCTGCTCCCTAGGGACCCATCCTCAAGAACCCCGTTGGAGCTGCCTGCGCCCGGCGAGCATCCTCTGGTCTCATGGGGCTGGCACAGGACAGGACAGGCACGGTGGCACCGCCAGGGCCTGACCGGGTCCGCCCTGCCCCGAGGTGAAACACCCATCTCCTTTCCGGCCCATCTTGTTCCTGGCCACGGCGGGTTCGTCTGTTCTCGTGCCAGAGCCATCCCTGCCTGGAGGAGGAGCTGGCCCTGCTGTGCGGGGCCAGGAAGGGATGCTCAGCGCTTCTGGCGTGGGCCATGGGGCAATGAAGGCCATGGAGGGGATGCAAGTCGCAGCCCCCAACTGTGACCCTGAAGATGCTGAGGGTACAGGCACCTTCACATATGCAGGAAAGGAAAAAAATCCACCTGGGAGAGGCTTGAGATGCCCCCAAGGTCTCAGGCCGGGGCTGGCAGCCCCTATGCTCGCTGGCACGTGCTCTCCGGCTGCCCAGGCACTCACTGCCTGCATATCCCCCCCAGACACCRGCCATCCCGGCCTGAATGGCCCCCTGCACCCCAGCTCGAGCCCCTGCACCCGTTGGGACCCCCATATCCCCGGTCATCCTCCCGAATGGTGCCGGGTCCTGGCACAGCAGCCTGGGATACAACCTGCAGCAGGCGCTGGCCGCGGGGCAAGTCTGCAGTGCTGATGAGATGCACCTAATTATCCCTCATTACGAGGGCAGGGCAGCGACTGCCAGAGCCAGGAACTGGTTCGTGCTCCCTGRGGCCACCCTCGCCACGCTGGCACGAATCCCGTGGTCCCAGGAGCCCTGGTTTCGCTACCCAGTGCAGCCCTGGTTCTCCACGGCAATATTCAGCTGAGGAAATGCGGGGGTGACTGCCAGGTTGCTCCTGGCTCTGGTCTGACCAGCTGGGACCAGGCACTTCCACAAGCCTGGAGCTTGTGTCCACGAGCACTTCTAGGGACGGGTCCTTGTGCAGGACCCCCTGCATGGCAGATATGGGCCAGCCTTCCTCCCCACCCTGCGGAGACGTGAGGGCTGCCAGGAACCCTCCTCAAGGACCCAGCCCCACTGCTGAAGGTCTCTCCCACCCTCCAGCTGCCAAGGGAAGCTCACTTTCCCTTAGCCATGGAAATGAGAGTTTCAACAGTTTTTCTCYGCTCTTCTGTTTCCAACAGCCTGTTTGCAGAGTCCCAGGAGGCTGCCTGGGAGCTGGRGCTGTATCTCTGTGCCCTCGAGCAAACCCAACAGGTCGCGCTGCTTTTCGGCAGCTGGCAAGCAGAAGGCATCGCTCCGTGGGCTCCCCACGCAGCTCTCATGAGCAGCAGCAGGTGACGGAGCTGCTGGGCAGGATGGGGTTCAGRCAGGGGACATCCTGCCCTGGGACAGCTCAGTAGCCGCTTGGGTGACATTCCCACCATGCGCTTGACCCCAGGGGCTGAGACGGGGTGGTGGCCACGGGGCACCATGGGCTAGGACTTCCTATGCAGGCAGCTGAGGGGCTCAGAGGTCTTCAGCCCACCTTCCCACCTGGAGCAGTCTAAGCCCCTACACCAGCTCCTCCAGGCTGCAGAGCTCAGCCATGAACCYACCCTCTGGTTCATCTCTTGGGCCACAGGTTGGGGCCCCACAGCCTCTTGCCCAGGGGGCAGCAGCTCCCTCCARGCAGGAGCAGGGTCGGACGGGTCCTGCTGGGAACCACTCACCTCTGCAGCCTCCCAAGGGAGCTGGGTGACACTGGGACACAGATGTCCACAGGTCTGTGTGTGTCCAGCCCAGGCGCTGGCCGCTGCATGGGCAGCACTAACCAGCAGAGGGTAGCAGACGGTCGCAGCTGCCCTGAAGGTTCCCTGAGCCCAGCCAAGCTTCTCCCAGGCCATGTCCCTCAGCATCCTTCACTCTACCTCCTGCCCTGTCCACGCACATAGCCGCAGTGATGCCCACCCTAGGCTCTCCATAGTGACACAGTTGCCATTTACACCACGGATGTTGGTCCCCATCAATCTACAGGCTTGTCGTGCCCTCAAGCCACCCCAGAACTGTTCTCCAGAGGATGATGCAACTTCAGCAAGCATGCAGCACCAGAGTGCAAACCCTCAGAGCAAGATTGCTCGGCCACAACATTGCCTACACTGTCACCTGGGAACTTTGGGTGTGAAAGCTCAGCAGAGACCCACTATACAGCTCTCCCAGTGAACTGCAGGACCTCAGTAGGCTTTTGCTACCATGCTGCACCCAGTAGTCACTGGTTCCCCGTCAGGGCAAGAACCTATCTTGACCAAGAGATCTGCTACCAGGGAAATACACACCCTGTGTGCACCTACCCAAGCTCCCTTCAGCTTCCTGCTTAGAGCAGCCACCTGGGTTTGCTGCCCAGGAGGTATCATCACATGGTCAAAGTGGCCCAGTGGTAGAGGGGATGGAACGACACCGTACATCAGGGCAGGCTGGGAGAGACTGCTAGGGAGCTGCTCTGCAGAAAAGGTCCTGGCTGTTCTGGTGGACAGGCTGCCCAGTAGCCAGCAGTGTAGCCTGGCAGCAATGAAGATCAACCATGTTCTGGGCTCCATTACCAAGATTAGAGCCAGGAGGTTAGGGGAAGTGAATAGTCCTCTCTAGTGAGCATCCCTGAGGCCACATCTGTCCAACTTRGGCCTCCTCAACACAAGAAGAAATCAACAAAACCGAAAGGCCAATGAATAGTGACCAAACTGATGCAGGGGTTGGTGTATGTGAGATAGAGGAGAGGCTGAAGCTAGAATCTGGGCCCCAGACTAAGTGATGGAAAAAGTAGGAGAATTTTTGGAAATGCTTAAAAGGGTTACTACTCCTCTCATTCAGCTTACAAAAACTCATGCAAAAGTCGAGGGTGTGCAGAACACGAGACCAATCTAAAGGTTTCCAGGATCTAAAATGAAATTAGAACTACGCAACTAAGCCTTTTTAGTTCAAAGTGTGCTAAAATGAACTGAAGTCCTACTTCCCCAAAGGACCGATGTTATTATTGTGCTTCTGGAAATGTTTTCCTGATCCCATTTATGCTGCGTATSTTTAAAACCACCATGCTTTAAAAAGGCAGAATATCCTTGCGGAGTCTGCACGCCAAAGCATGACATCAACTCTGGTTCTACAGGAGAAACACAGAAAGGAAATAARGAAGGTGGATGAAGATGAATTAAGATGGGATGTTTCTAAGCTCATGGGTTAATGTGGCCATTGAACAAGGGAGTAGGTGAAAAGTTCCCAAGTTATTCAGCAGTGCTCAGCCTGCCTGCTTGGAGGAGCACCAGGTCACAGCACTGATAGGAATTCTGATGTGGTTTGCACACGTTTTGGGTCACTGAGAGACACAAGGTCTCTTCTGGGTCTCCCAGAACCAATGGTGAGCCAGCACTGGGCYGGAGGACAGCCAGGCCCAGCTGGTGCAAACTAGCAGAGCTCAATGACCACAGCTGGACTACCACAAACAGTACTGTGCTGTCCCTGCAACTGTGCTTTAATTACAAGCCATGATTAACACATTCCTGTTTTCACTCCCATCTGGGCCTCCTGCTCAGGTCAGTCAGCGGATCTCCTCAGCCCCAGACAAGGAATAATCTTTTGGGCACGGCCAGGCTTTGGTCAGCTTTGACGTTTATTACTTGCTCTGTGACGCAGCACTGCATGGCTGGATACACATCCCGGCAGGATGAGGCACCTTCACGCACAACGTGGAGCAGAACATTTTTGGAGGTGTGAGCTGTGTTCCCTGTCTGTATTTATACCACCAGGGCCTGCCGAGGCCRATGGAAGGACCCCCATGGCTTCAGAGAGCGCTGGGTCGGGTCAGAGAGGAATGAACTCGTGCTGTGAAGCAGCAGGCGGTTATTGATTACTATAAGGGTGTCACTGCGAGTGCACAAAGGGTCAGGCAGCAACGGCTGGTCCGGACAAGCCAGAGCGCGCAGAGTGCCGGGCCCGGGCTGCCTCACTGCGAGTGGATGAGCGCCCCAGCGCCCTGCCCAAAGCCAAAGCCCTTGGGCCCGAAGTTCTTGGCGTAGCAGCCTGCAGAGGAAGGGAGAGAAGACTCAGGTCAGGCCATTAGTACAGAGGGAGCACATGAATGGGAGAAGATCCCTCTCTTGAAGCAGGTACTCCCTAAGCAGAGCAGGGTTTGATGCATTTGTTGGTGAAACGGAGTCCACAAGTGTAGCACAGAAATCCCTCAGCAAGTGGCAAGTCAGCCTCCAGACACTGCTGCTGGAGGTCACCACCTCCCCATACCTCCATCCCATCCCAGTTCCATGCAGTTATTTAAACCTTCTTTGGATTCCAGGATGAATCCTCCCGTGGATTTTGGTAGAACCTGTGATCAGGAGTGTCTCTGTGCCAGCGGGGAGGCAGGAGGGAAGGTGATGCTCACCTTTGCAGTAGATCTCCCCATCTTTGTCTGCGAGCGTGGTGGATTCCAGGCTCTTGCCACACTTGGCACAACGGAAGCAGGACTTGTGCCAGGACTGTGGGGACAGGAGCAAAGCTGAGTCAGAGAAGACACAGTGACGGGACAGCAAAGCTTGGAGTCCCAGCCGTCCACAGCAGCAGCCACAGTGCCCTTCCTCAGAGCCCCTGTTGTTGACTCATCCCCATAAACCAGCCAGCTTAGATGGTCCCAACAACATGGGCCTTCTGATCCATCGGTCCTTTCATCGAGCAGTATTTTCCTCTAAGAAATGCAGTCCTTCTGCTTACGCTCCAAAATCAATTAACGTGAAATGTAAAATCAGCAGACTTCCCCAAATAAGTAAATGTACTGTTGCTGTTCCCTAGCCAGCGGTGACATCAGGACCAGGACACCTGCCCCTATTCTCCTACAGTTCCGAGGAAGGCAACAAGTAGATATTAAGAATGCAGAAATCGGTGTTTAAAAATAAAAGTCCCCTGTGGCTCTGCCTGCAGCCAAGGGATAAATCAACTCACAGCCTCTGAGCAGACTGCAGAGTAGCCAGAASTACTCATGTAGGAATTTAAAACCTAAAAAAAAAGTTTTGAAAACAGGAAACCTTTTTTGGAAGAAAATGTGAAATTGGGGCTAGAGGAGGAGGTAGCAGATGGAGTCATCCAGCAAACATTAGCACATGAAATACACGCTCTGGAATCCTTTCTGGTTTGCTTGAATGTAATTGCCTCATAAACAGCGAGCGCAGAGCCTACCAGTAGGTCTAGTGCCTGGATCATGATTTTAAGGGTAAGTTTGTTTTCTCACCCTGGGCTGACCCGCAAGGCATCCATCAAGAATTCCTCCACTGCCAGCCTGAGTATTGCGATGCTGGGAGTCTGTTTCTTGCAACTAAATTCCTCCTCTCTTTGCTCCAGGGAGAGGGGGGAAACACAGAAATCCCAGGGGGATGGATCACTGCCGAGATCAGTGAGTGTCTCGGCTTCAGACTTGGACTGATGCCATTGCTCATTGAGTCCCTGATGGCAGTAGCCACGTCCTACATCAATGTTCATCCTTCCAAAGCTTCCAGCTGCAGGGACCTCCACTCCAACCTCCATGGAATAACAGTCCAGTTATTTATTGTAAAACATACTTCTCTCCACTTCCCTTGTCTGGAAGAGTGAGATGGCTTTGAAAACCTGGTTCTCGGGTGTGCTGAGGTCTCATTTAGGCACCAGGCTTCCACATGAGGTCAGTGAATGGGACTCCAAGCCTAATTCCAGCTGGAGGTCTTGGCAGTCTGGCCTGTAGGTCAAGACCTTCTGCACAGGTCTCCCTGCTACACAGTAAGTCATGGTCTGCACRTGTCCCCAAACACAAACTAGAGCCCTTTTCTCACCTTTCCAGCTCCAATCACCTTCTCAGCTGCATACACAGCTTGACCACAGCGAGGGCACCCGTCAGAGCCTCCTACTTTCTGGGTCATTCCAGAGAAGTTGGTGGGTCGGTGTGGCTGGCCCCTGTGGAAGAGACAGAGGTCATTAGCAACATTGCTAAACATGAAGGAAGAAGGAAGCCGTGTGATCACAAATCCCAAACCAGTTTTGGAGGGCCTAGAGCTTAGGATATAAAGGTGTTGAGTCCCATAGAAACTCCAGCCAGGTGCTAAGCASTAACATGGTCAGCAGGGGACAGAGAGAACACACATGAACTACCAGGTCCCCATCCAGCTGAGAACTTCAGGGCAGATGTGGGCCTCCTGCCTCAGCCACATGCTGAGGCATGCTGAGGACTCCGTAAGTTCCCCAACAAACTGGGGAGCAGCTCCCTCTGCCCTGCTAGCACAGCAAAGCTGTTTCTTCAGCTAGGTTAACTTGTAGAAGGACGACATGTTCAGCCCTGCAGAAATTCACCTGAATCAAGTTCCCTGTGAGTTACCTACATGATGAAACAGGAGGGGGTTGATTCTTCAACTTCTCTGTGCAACTAAGAGAGATGGTTTAAGCCAGGCTTTATCCTCCACGCTGAGCACATGGACTGGCCCAAAGCTCTGAGCCTATGTCTGCCACGTAGCTCTGCAACACTTTGAATCCCAAAAGCACAGGAGGAAAAGGGCTGTGTGTCACAGGGTGGGCAAGTAGGGATTTTCTCAGAGGGGCAGAAAAGCAATGTAGACCATGGCACTCTAAATTAAGAAATACTGGGAGTTTAGCATGGTGTGCTGGCATCACAAGCAGTAGGATGTGAGGGAGAAGGTACTAGCAACAGGCCCAGCTTAAAATATTAAAAGATAAAAAAACTCACTCTTCATATCTGATTCCCAGGGACTCGCCCTTGTCCGTGCTCAGGGTCCCTGCTCCCTGTCCGTATCCATAGCCCTTGGGACCGTACTTCTTGCCATAGCAGGACTTGCAGTAGATCTCTTCTCCATGCACAGCAACAGTGGTGCTGTCCAAGTTCTTCTTACAGACCACTAGAAAAGAGGGCAAACTCATTAGCCTTGTGCACCAAGAGCTCGCTAATCAGTTGGAGCAAACAAGTCCTCACAAGGGATAGCAGGGCTCAGCTTTCAAGGAGCACAGGAACCCTAGACAAGATCACTGCTAAAACGGAGCGCATGCAAAACAGGCTGGAGATAAGGATCACAACAAGAACATTGTCTGGCTTTAAAAGGAAGCAACAAAAGACACAAGGTTGATAATAAGGAAAAAGCTGTTAACCCTGTGGATGCTGGTTATTCTTGGTGGAAGGAGTTTGGAAAAATGGGAGTTGTACTTAAACCAGTGCCTAGCTGCRACTCTGCACAGAGACCCAGTCCACTGCAGATACAGCTGATAAAAAATAATTTTTAAGTACGTTAAGCTGTTGCTTTTAGCTGTCTCAACACCATGAAACTACAGTGAAAGATGTTCATGCTACCCTGTGTCACGCCTGAGGAGCAGGATGAGCAGTCTCAGCTGAGGAGAGCCAACTCACCTGGGTGTTCAAACTTYGGGAAAGGAAGTGCTACAAGAGCTGAAAGCCCAAACAAGCAGCTGGTGAGCATGGTTCACATGTCCAAAACTCCTCCAGTTTCCCCCTGCCCTTTGGAACAMGAGGAGGAAATACCCAGATGCATCRGAGATCTGCACCAGCCTCACTAGGACACAGCAGCAGGGCTCCGGCATCCAGCTGGGCCAGTCCCCAGCCTGTGCTGGGTACTGGGGCAGCCCACACAGGCCACTCTCCCAGTCCTTAGATTWTCTTGACTCCCATCCCAGCTCTGATCTCAGCCTCCACGTTGGCTTCCAAGCCCTTCCTGGCACACAGAGCTCAGCAAGCCATGACGGGAGCGGAGCCGCATCCAAATGGCGCTCCGAGGAACCTCTGGTGTTTACCTGCCCCCGGGCAGGATCTCGATGCCTGGGGCAGACTCCACCGAGCTGGCAGGCAGCCCCAAACAGATCCTGTTACAGCCACCTCGCAGCCTGCCCCAATCCTGCTTACGTGCCTGAAATGTCAACGCTCCCGGCAGGCTGCCTGCCCTTTTGCCGGCAGAAACGTTTCTTGCCCTTTACCAATATCACAGGAATGCAAACAGAGCAGAGCGCTCCTCCCGAGCAAAACAAACCCGCACTAAATACGGGGGCGAGAGGCAGCGATCCTCAGCCCAATTACTAAATATGGTGCTCGTTCTTCCTCCGGGGCTGCGGAGGAGCCTGTGCACTGGGGCAGGGAGGAGGCCGTGGAAAGGAAAATGCATCCTGCCATCTAAGGAGGACTTCTCAGGGTTGTCCCCTGGGCAAGGGCTTCCCCATGTCGCCTCAGCTGGAGCTCTAGGCCACTTAACTCTGGGAAAAGAACACTCATCCCCACCGCTGGCAAGAAAGCAGCTCTAGTCAACTGGTCCCACCACCCACAGCTGCCACAGCGTGCTGCCTTGTTCCTGCTTTATGGAGACCATCAGGAGCAACTCTGTATTGAGACAGACCATCTACAACTGAAATCAGCCCCTTTCACTGACAGCTTTAAATGGCTTTCTCCTAAGAGGGATATCAATGCCTTGTCCTCTCCACCTCCACATGGGGCTTATTTAGGCCATCTCTATCCCATGCTTTCCACATTCACCCATCTTCCCTGGCTGCAGACRCTTTATGAAGCAACAGAAAAACCTCTTTCCCAATCTGCTTCTTGGAAATCAGGCCCCAGCTCCAGGGTTTCTGCATGGCTGGAATTCCAGCTCGCTGCACACAGCACTAAGGACCCTTCATTTTCTCCTAAGAGCAGCTGAGACGCTGCAAAGTCATTTACACGGGAGCTGCTGTTCCTTTTAGAGACYGAACACTGGCCTCATTGCATGACATTTCTTCCTTGCGCTATTGACTCAGCTGGAATGATGCCACTCAGTCAATCACCGAGTCCCTTCCTGAATCTATCTCCGCGTCTAACACACTGTAGTAAGCTTGGCTCCTTTTATCTATTTATTTTTTCTAGCAAATGAGGCCACAGTATTTGTTTTTCCTCTGCTAAAGAAAATGGGTTCAAGTTCCCTGATGGGGCCCAAATGCAATACTGGGGAACAGGCCAGGAACGCAGGAGGAGTACAGGGCAATTTAGCATCAGAAGCAGCTTGTGGCACTGCAAACAGCAGATAGGCCTGTGGAGCAGCATGCAAAGCCCTGCCTGAACCGGGGAGCCTGCAGCAGGGTCAGGCAGAGCTGCTGGAGCTGGAAGTAGATCCATGGGGAGACAAACCCACCTTCTTCCCTGCTTTGGCCATATATTGCCTTCTTGAAGCAAGGTTTTGCCCAATTCCTTAGCATTCCCCACCCACCTTATCTGAGGCTACAGGAGGAACACAACTTCCTGGTACAAAATGCAGGACAAAACACCATGGCCCAGCTGCAACCTGCTGCTTTCTGCCACCCGCCCTGGGCGGAAGCCTCTCGCAGCAATTCCCCCTTTGGTCTCCAGTAGTCAAAACAAAAGAGTGAGGTTTATCAGACAGGAAACTCCCAAGTATGAGAATTGCTGGCTGGGCTGGCCAGCACTCACCCGGTGCAAAAAACAGATACATGTATGCACACAGCATCCCAGACAGCCTGGCTGGGCAGCACCTGGTATTTAGCTACGTGGACAGAGGAGGACAGCATGAATTGCCCATGAAGACGAGAGTAAAGGACGACAGTAATGTTTTATTCAGCGTACCCTGAACCCGGCTGTTGCAGGCCTTTCAGCAATATACCACTACTCCCCTATCCCTGGTACCCCCAAAGGGAGAGGAAGGGAGCCTGGGGATCCTGCACCATGAACTCAAGATCAAGTAGGTTCCTGCAGAACGCAGAGGAAGCTGCTACTGCACTGAATTAACCCTCAGCCAGATCCTGTTCTGCTGCTCTTCTCTAGGGGTGACATTATGTGAGGGATGCTGCAGTCAGGGTGGAGGGGATGCTTTAGCACTTCCTAACAGCCCCCTGCCCCAGCTGTAGAAAGGCCAGGGCAGGAGCACATCTTCCTGCCATCTGGAATATGGAACATGCAGGAACGTGCAGATCAGCTCCCAGGGCCCAGCCAACTTCATTAATGTGACAAAGCCCCAGTAAGGACTAAAGTTGGTATCACCCCAGAGCAGTGCATGGGACAAGCCACCTCCTGCCACCGTTGCTTGGAGAGCCCCTGTCGCACACTCCACTGTCCCGAACATCCAGAGACAGCTTAGAGGACTCAGACAAGCACTTCCTTAGTGTGAGGACAGATAGTCTTTGCAGGGATGCTGGCTCAAATCACCCTGACAGCTTGGATGGCCCCTAGTGTCCCAGGATGATCTGTCTTCCTTTGGCGAATCCCACTCCCAAGTCTGGAGAGCAGCAGAATTCCTGCTGCTTGGCTCCCACAGCTGGGCTGTTTGTAGAGGAATCCTATCAAGTGTTTACACAGCCCATAAACAGAACATGACCGGGGCCTCCCATCGGCAGAGAGCCAGCGAGCAGAGGCAAAGGGGGAGAGGGAAGGGTTGGTACTCACTGCACAAGAAGCAGGACTTGTGGAAGCTGTTGCCTTCACATTGCACCTCCTCGGCGAAGTACACGGCCTTCTGGCACACGCCRCATTTCTTCCCTCCACCCCAGTTCGGCATCCTGCGGAAAAGGCACAGGCAGAAATAAATTCATGGCAAGGGGCCACGCAGGGCACGGGTCGGACATCTGGAAGGGCTGGGGAGCAGCCAGGCTCCCTGAACGGAGCCTGGGAACACAGGTCCCATAGGTGTCTCCTATGGCTTTTCTAAACATGCACAGGCAGAGGCCACCCACGAACGTCTGCTGTTTGCTCAGAAAAAGCAGGGCTGCCAGTTAGCAGAGCTGCCCCAGGTGCCCCCATTACTATTAGCATCATCTGCCTCTAGAGATGACTGGTCCTGACAGCCAGGAGAGGTAGAAAACCTCATGTCCCATAGACTCTGGGACCTGCCAGCTCCTTTCTGTACAAGGAAAAGGGAGAAAGCAGGAAGGTGAGAGAGAATATACCGAGGCACCTAGCACCAACCACAGCTCTGTATTGCCCCTGACAGAGCAGCAAAGCAATGGCCAGGGCACCCAACCCTTAGTGCTGGACAGCAGCACAGATTGGCACCCCAGCTGGAAACGTTTCCTTTGTCTCCCCAGTTCTCCCATTTCTGGGTCCAGCAACAGAGCAACAAAGATGATTAAGGACTGGAGCATCTATCGTATGRGGAAAGACGAAGTGAGCAGGACCTGTTCAGCCTGGAGAAGACTGAGAGGACCTGATCGACATGTATAAACAGCTGAGAGGAGGATGTTAAGAGAATGGGACCAAACGCCTCTTGGTGGTGGCCAGTGACAGGACAAGSGGTAAGGGGTGTAATTCTTTTTAAAAAAACAGAAGTTCCACTTCCATATGAGGAAGAACAACTTTACACTGAAGGTGACAGAGCAGTCTGGAGCAGGCTGCCCAGAGAGGCTGTAAAGTCTCCTTCCATGGAGGTCTTCAAAACTCGCCTGGATGCCACCCTGTGCCCCGTGCTCTGGGTGTCCCTGCTTGAGCAGGGAGGTTGGACTAGATGGTCTCTGGAGGTCCCTTCCAACCTCAACCATACAGGGATTCTGTGATCCAAAAGGATCACTGAGCAGCTGAGAACACAGAGACACTGRGGCCATTTCTCACAGTGGCTCCAAATCCTCAGGTCACCTCAGGCAGCTCCAGGCCCATCTCTGGCCTCCAGCTACCCTGACCCATGGGCAAGCAGCACTGCCCTTGGGAAGCTGGGGAGATGGATGCTAAACACAGCCAGGCTGGGGGTTGTATAAACATCAGGCAGTCAGATAAGGCAGGATGAAGATCTCAATCTCTCATTACTTTCCAGGGTCAAAAGCCAAGGTCTTGCCTAAATAAAATGATTTAGGCAATAAAATAGAGGGAATTTGATCTCAAGCTGGTTTTAATGAGCCTTGTTTCAGGCTCTAGGATGAGAGCAGCTAGAGGGGCAAGCCTGGCTGGAGCGGGGTCAGGCTGGAGCTCCCCGCATGGAAGACGCTGGKGAAGGAGCAGGAGCAGCTCCGGCGCCCCAGGAAGGGCAGCGGCGGCGGCTCCAGAGCACCGAGAAGCTGCGCGCTGGGGGTGAGCAYAGCGGCCAGGAAGCCTCTTCTCAACACCCTGCGGGCTGGGCTTCCTACCAGCGCTCAGCCCTGCCAAATCCCTCCCTTTCAGCCAGATCATCCCTGTTCGGGCCTTTGGATTGCCTTAAAAGGACACGCAGCGTCCTCGCTCTCCGGAGACTGTTATTTTACGGCGGGCCACGGTAGGAGGGCCAGACAAGTTTCCTTGGAGGGCAGAAACATCCAGTGGCGGCAGCTGCGGCCAGCCAAGGATGTCCCCCACCCCCCCGAATGGCAGGGATTCAGCGCGAGAGGGATGTGCAACCAGTACAAGCTGACAGGGAACGTTTAGAGAGGGTCCAGCGTAGAGCAACAACGATGATGGACAACTGGAGCATCTATCGTATGAGGAAAGACTGAGCGGGCTGGGCCTGTTCAGTGCTGAGAAGATCAGATCTCCTCTCTGCCTTCTCAACATGTACAAATCCCCAAGGGAGGGATGTAAAAAAGAAGGCGCCAAACTGTTCTTGGTGGATGCCAGGGACAGGACAAGGGGTAAGGGGTCCAAACTGAAACCCAGGCAGTTCCATCTCTACATGACAAAGAACTGATTCACTGTGAAGGTGCCCAAGCCCTGGCACAGGCTGYGCACGGAGGCTGGGGAGTCTCCTTCTCTGGAGGTCTCCCAAACCCACCTGGATGTGACCGGGTGCCCCGTGCTCTGGGTGTCCCTGCTGGAGCAGGGGGTTGGACTAGCTGGTGTCAAGAGGTCCCTTCCAAYGCCAACCATTCTGGGATTTTAGGAGGCTGCTTTTGCACACACTACYGCCCATGTTAGGACCCTCTTCAGCAATAATGCTGGATGCAAGAAACCTTCTCTGCTTCCCCCATCCCTTCTCAAGCATTAGGCCATCAGGTACCATCTCTTGGACCCACCACTCCCAAGCTCACAGCATGCAACCCTCGGGACATTRTCCTTGGTTGTCCCATCAGTGCAGAGCCCTGCTCCACAACCAAGGCATCTGTGACCACCCTCAGGGATAAACGTCCCCACAAGATTTAAACCCATCTGCTCCTGACTTCCTCTGAGCTGCCAATGGAGAGGAAAAAGGGGTGCTCCTAGGACCAGCACATCTAATTCAAGGCAGACATCTGCTGCAGGGCATTCAAGGCCTATTTTACTTGCACTATACAGAGTTTAGGGGTGGCTCCATACAATTTGATCACTTCRCTGTGGTTTGGACAGTCAGTCCCACCCTGAGCGCTCCAGTGGGTTGGAAGAGCCACTTAAGTGGGTGTCACAGCAAGACTGCCCAGCACAGACCAAGATGGGTTTTCTGTGAGAGCATCAGGATGTGCGAGTTTGTGATAACTCGCAGYTGAGCTCAGGGAAAGCCTGAAACAAGATTTAAATGGAAGGGAATTCCCTCCAAGCCAACAGCACACATTTGAGTGTTGAGAGTTCAGCAGGCTGCAAGACAGACCAGAAAGCTTCTACAGCTCAGAAACAGCAGGAAAAAGAGGGATGTGCCCCAAATCTTATGAATGATCACTAGAAGACTGCCAGATGCTCCAAGTCTACATCTCGCTTACCAAGGTTCRCAGAAGCAAAAGCAGAATCGTCAGAACAGCTGTCCAGACATAGACCCACCAACCCAATTCTCTAATCAGGGATAACTTTAAGCCACTTATTCTGCAGGTTTATGGGCCTCTCAGCGTTTTTCAGCTTCATTTTCTTCACACCATTGAGCTGAACACCATGCTCTGCCCAGGCACAGCACTTAGCGACTTCAGTTGCACTCCTCCAAACCCATTTTTAGGTCAACACAAAGTGAGGAACATGAGGTCCTCACTGTCCTGCAGCACAAGACCTCTCTTGCTCCTGCAAGAGATATCCAAGGCTGCCAGAAAACACAATATTTTCCTGCATCCCACATCTCCACATCCCATCCCCACAACACGTCCAACTTCTGCATCAACAGGAATCCCACAAATTGCCGCTTCCACTGCACCAAGCATGGCTCCGAATAACACAAGGGGCCTACAAAAAATAAGATATAGTCATTTGATCAGCAGCTGTATTTGTGGAGCCCAGAAACAGACACAGCTCATGCAGAGCATCGCCAATCTGACACCAGATATTAACCAGTTGACCCGTACTGACGTAAATACAAGCTACAGGCTCGCCACACGAGAGGAGCTTGTATTGCAGCACTTGGAGATGGTCTAAGTGACACCAGATGGGCAGGTACAAATGAGTACGGACCCAGTACATCCTGAGYCTTGGCGATTTTTAACTTAACCTGGACCTTCAGGAAAAGTGGTATCCAGATGAAGCCAAACCAGGAGATAGTAGGAACAGACAGACCAGCAGCCTCTCTTCACGGGGGGCTTGAGAAATCTGCCCRCTCCTATCACTCAGACCAAAGCTCACTGCCACTTCTTACCTCTCTAAAAGAAGCTGGTTTAACAACTAGAACTAAAGGAGCACTTGGCACTGGGTGAAGACAATTTCGTTAATAAAGAAGTGCATTGAGCAGTGCAGGTTCTCACCTTCTAATGAGCTTTCCTGTGGCCACCAGGGTGCCAGCACAACCACTTGTGCTTTGCAACAACTGGAATGCCAGTGCAAACCCASATGTTCTACCAGAAAATGAAATCCTTCAGTAGTTAATCACACAGCAGCCACTTGCACTTGGAGAGCAGGAGAACACAGAGGAACAGGAGAAAGGTTCAGAGTGGCCAGTCTTTTTTCTTTTTCCCCCCAAACAGTGGGAACTTTAATGAAAGTGGATGGCAGGAAAGCATCATCATGCTTTCGGCATGGGATTCACACATTATGGATCTTCCAGTAGCTCATGCAGAACTCTACATGACTTGGCAAAAGGACWAACCAAAGGGGAGGAATGCAATCTAGAATAAGAGCCCAAGCCCCAGGGTCCGGATTACAGCYTTCCTGTTTGCTGGCGAGCAGCTGGCACAGCCGTAATGTTTGAACAAGGACATGGCCAGGTTAGGCATTTGGGCAGGGCACAAAGAAATCAGCTCATGGAGACCGACACAGCAGCAGGTACTGGGACACATGTAGGAAGGGAGGGCACTCTCCCCCCAGGTCCGAGCTCTTCTGGACGTTTGCTCTTCCTGGTCAGACAATCATCTCCTACACAGCCAACCAGAGCAGATCCTGGGCATCTTTCACCGAGTCTGAGCATAAGCAGAAATGTCCCTACAAGAAGCAAGTTTGAGCTGTCCCCCTCCAGCTGGGTGGACCAGCGACGTGTGAAGCCTTAGGCTTGGCAACAGCGTAAATTAGGACATATCAACCTATCAGCCTCCTGCCATACATGGAATTCACCAGGACGCCACAACAGCGACGCTCCCCAAGAGYGGCACGTTGCTGCCTGCTGATCACGCCGCTCCCAAGCTCTGCTCACGGAGGCAGCTTGGGAATTTTCCATCACGACTGGATGATTTAACCGTTTCTTCAAAGAGAAGGCCAGCTTAATCCTGAACAAAAGCAAAAG